TTCATAGTGTTTATTAAAACATGTAAAAAGTATAATAAAGAAAAGTTTTTAATAAAAAACGTAATTAGAAATGAAATTGAAAAAAGTTTTAATGAACTTTTAATAAAAAACACTAATTATGTTCAAATGATCAAATTTGAAATATTCTTAAAAGATGTATGTCGTTGTATTGAATAATTAATAATTTGCAAAATTACTCATTCCAGATTTGAAGAGTCTGAATTAAGATATTTTGGCAATAAATTTGAAAGCGCTCTTGAAAGATACTTTGAAACTGATAAAACATATGAATTTAGAACATTTATTGGAACTGTCAAAAAATCAGAAGAATTAAAAACAATTGAATTTTGTAAATTTGTTGATGAATTAGTTGTGCTTATAAGAAGTAAGAATGGGTTAGCTGTTATCGTACCAAAGCCTCATGTCAACTAGTTTGACTTATACTTAACGTTTTAAGGTTTTAACTAATTATAATACTATTGGTTACTTAAAATATAAAAAGAAAATTTAAAAAATAAAGGATGGTTAAACAAAAGTTTTATTTAAACCAAATGATAAGCTGTGCAGGGCACGACAGCTGTATTTGAAAATATATTTAAATAAAATTTTATTTGATTTTATAAACAATTAAATTACATAGAAGAATTATTTTTTTATTAAAATCTTTTAAATTTTTAAACCTTGTATTATAAAAATCTTTTTGTTACCTAAACTTAATTCACTATCATTATGGGTATTAAGTTCAGTTAAAGAATACAAAGTGTTAAATAAATCAGTAATGATTGTCAATCAAATTTTTAATTAAACCCTAAGAATAAATAAAAAGATTGACAAAAATTTATTATATACTGATAATTATGATGAGAAAGATTTTAAAAACGATGATAACTCTGAAAATATGGGTGAACATAGCTGGCATCGTATAAAGAGAGAGTTGGAGGTAGAATAAACTTACCAACTCAACACCATTTAAACAAATTTTTATATACCCTTATTCACTATCAGGATAACAGAAAGTCAGTGACGAAAAAATATGACTGAAGTATAAAATTTAGGCCGTCCACTTAAATTTTTACATACTTCACGAACTGGATTGTAAAGCACCATTTTATAATATAAATATAAGACTCTAGTATGTGGTTTTAGTTAGTGATCCTAATTAATGTTGTCAGATATATGTGTTAGAGCATGTAGTGATTCATCAGAGCTTGAATGAGTATCTATGAAACATGTGAAGAGAAGTATTTATACTATTAAAATGTGTATGAATGTCGACATAAGTACCGCTTTCACTCTAGTTCAATGTCATATACTGAGGTTATCTGTTATATGTAATTGATCACTATATATAATAGTTGCTGATAGTGGATCATTCGAATCCTTTGTATGATTAGCTAGCATGCAATACGATTGTTAAGGAGGTTATGGTTATTTAAGATAGTATTGATGCTGAATTGTTATAAGATATACATTATATATCTTTGTTAAAGCGGAGATAATATCTTTTAAACCATGCCTTTCTTAACCTATTTTTTTTAATAAATTTTTTATTTCTTTAATTATACTTTCATTAATTAATTTAGTTTATAAAATTTTTTTATTACAAACTATCAAAGTATAACAATTTGTTAAGTTTAATTATATAAGTATTTTATTTATTTTCTAAATAATTACGGTCATATCCAAAGTAAAACTTCTGAACCCATTAGATCTCAGTAAATAAGTCTTTGAGAGCTCATTCAAGTACTATCCGGGAAAGTTGAGTACTGCAATTTTTAAAAAAACAAACTTTTTTATAATTTTTTTAAATAAATTAAAAAGAAATGCCATTAAACTTAAGTGATACGTTAAAGAATTTAAAATTTATGAAATCAAAAGATAAGCCTAAAGTAGATGATAAAAACAAAAATTTCTCTTATTATGCATGTAAAAATCTATTTACAGAAAATATCATTAGAAATGAAAATAAAGAGTCAAAGAGACTTAAATAAAAAATTTTATATAAAAAATAATTTAATTTAAAATGACTAACAATCTTCCATTTGTAATTTTTTGTAAGAAATGTAAAGATATAATTTGTGATTCTTTTAATTTAATAACTTTAAATAAAGAATACATGATATTTGATCAATTATCTGTTGTTTTAAGAGTAAATAATGAAAATGCGATAAAAACACCATTAAATAACATTCAAGAAATACTAATTGATTGTAAATATGATAATTTATATTGTTCATGTAATAACTATATAGGAATAAAGATGATCTCAGCTAATAAACATTTTAATGGATACTCAGATCATTATTTGATATTTAATGATTATATAAAATCCTATGGGTTGGGTAAAAATCACAATGTCGGTGTAAAAACACATCAAGAAATAGTTGAGGACATCGAAAAGTTAAAGTTAGTTGTTAGTGATTTATTTAAGACGATCAAAAAATAAATTTTATAAAAATTTTTAAACATTTATAAAGCAATGGAAAATAAAATAGAGATTAAGACAGAATTTACAGATCAAGAAATAGAAAAGTTTATTAAGATATTTAACAGTAAGAAGTGT